ACGCAGGCAATAAGGCAGTGATCGCTGAGATCCTGGTTGAAGACAGCGGAGGTGTATTTAGAGGGTAAGTTAGTCAGGATGATATCTATGAGGGTACCCATGTTTACGGATTTAGGGTTGTACCTGGTAGGTTCGTTGATAATTTGTGTGACATTGAGGGCATCTAGGAGACGGACTGACTCCATACATCATTACAGACAATGATCCTGCTTTCCTGTCCCTCTCCTATTAGAATAATGGTTTTACACACAGCACAACTATACAAATGGAATAGTCTTCTTCCTTTACAAATGACAGTACAGATACAGTATCATAATATTTACGAGAAAAAATCTAAACACAAAGTATACATAGCATTAAGAAGCTATTTAATATATGATTTTTGTTTTACAAAACAAATATAATTTCACCACACACAAATGCACACCCATATACACACATTGACCTACTGTAAATACAGTGAAATTGTGATGAGGAAGGCATCTATGATACTGTGAACTGAGGCCGTATTATGGACCTATCAGAATCTCTCATAGCCAAATACATGCAAAAGACACACACACACACACATACACACACACACACACACACACACACACTGAATCGCATAATCAAACAAAGAGAGAGCTAGTTCCCACTTCTCTGTGTCAGTGAGACACAGTGCAACATTTTAACTGAAAGTTTCTGTGTAAAAAAATCCTACCTCGCAAATCCAACAATGAGTGGTTTGGAAGAAATCAGTGGCTAACTGCAAACATTGCAAAGCAATCACTAGCCTGCTATTCAGTGGAGTGGCTGTGTGGTCCCAAGTCTGAGATTAAGGGTCTCTTTTCCAAGCTTAAAATGATAAACATTGGCCATGCTGTCAATGAAGCATGATTTGTGCTGCGCTCAAAACAACTGTTAACTCAGAACTGGGAAATCTGACTACAGTGAGTTCAAGTCAACTGGGAACTCGGGAAAAAACAAGCTCCGACTGGGAAAATACGTTTTGAACGGTCATCTAACTCGGAATTGTAAATCGGGAACTCGGGCCTCTTTCTAGAGCTACGAACTGAAGATCACTGACGTCATCATGATTCAACCTTGTTTTTTTCAGAGTTCCCAATTGTCTTGAAAGCACCATAAATCCAGAGAATGCCAGACTTTGATGACAAAGTTTGATGACAAAATTTGCCCACGAAGGACTGCCGCGCCACCTTCCTGTTCAAGTGAGCACAGCACAACAAGGTGAGTCCTTGTATGCTGCTGCATAAATGATGTAATATGCCAGAGAGATATGTATACTGTAGCTAAAAAAGTAATACTAAATGTATGTTGTGTGGTATGCTGTCAGTAGCCCATGTGCCTCAACCTAATAATTTGGTCTATTTTCCCCTCTTAATTTCGCCTACTGTTCTGACTTGGTGGTGCACATGTAGCCTATAACCTGTTTTAGAGAAATGTAATCATTGAATATTGTAAGAGCTTTCATTTTCTGCTTATATGCCCCCTTTATTTATCCTACGGTTCTGACTTGGTGTACAGGGAGAACACTGTAAGAACGGCCCATCTTCTGAATTCTGTCGCTGTACATTTCAAAAGTGCTGAACAAATAGTTATATTGACTACATCCGTCCTTATCTCACTCATTAATGTCTTAATCGAAATTACGGATTTCCTTTTATCCGGTTGTCGTCCCCTTATGCCATAGTTTGTACATCTCAATTTTCAGTAGAAACCACATTTGTTTAAGCAAGTCAGCCATATCAACAATGTTTTTTTTAAAGGCAGTAAATGAGGCTGAATGAACTGTTTCGCTGCCAGACAAGGCTCCGCTGATAGCCAGGTGTAGCAGTGGTAAGGTGTTGGGAGTGCTGTTGGGACTCTGCTGTTGGGACAGCTTTATGTAGGCCCTAACAGTTTGTGGGCACTGTTTGTCACCGTTATAGTGCAATTAATGTATTGTTTAGTGTTGTGTTGTGTAGTGGCTTTGCTGGCATGCATCCCACAGTTTTTGTTTGTTTGCCCCACCAATATTTTCATGCTAAAATTACCACTGGAACACACCAGCAGCTTTAAAGAATTCCCAGAAATGACATTCTCAGAAATATGTTCTACAGAATGATCCCAGGGTTCTAGTCCATATGATAAAACAGTATCCACCAGTGGAGGTTACTCAGAGGAGGAAGGGGAGGACCATCCTCCTCAGTGAATTTCCCCCCCCAAATTTTTTTTTACAACATTTAAAACGTTTGCCCTTTTAGATAAAACTATACTAAATATAATCACATTATCAAATAATTGATTAAAACACACTATTTTGCAATGAAGGTCTACAGTAGCTTCAACAGCTCTCTGTGGGGTAGCACCATGGTGTAGCCGGAGGACAGATAGCTTCCATCCTCCTCTGGGTACATTGACTTCAATACAAAACCTAGGAGGCTCATGGTTCTCACGCCCTTACATAGATTTCCACAGTAATTATGACAATTATGTCCTTCAACATATCAGGCAGGCACCGTGGCAATAAATTAGTAAAACCAAAAGCTTACCTTGACTTGGAAGAGTTCCGGTGTTGTGTTGCATAGTCATAGCCAGCTAGCTAACATAGCATCCCTCTGTTTGAGCAGGGCGTTTGAGTAGGCTAAACTAGCTAGCTGCATTTGCTCGCTAAGTAAGTGAAACTGAAAAAAATGACACTCTCTCTTGCTCCTTCATTTTGGAAGAAATTAATTTGTTCAAAACTGTTCAACTATTGTCTTTCTCTCTCTTTGAGTCAACTACTCACCACATTGTATGCACTGCAGTGATAGCTAACTGTAGCTTATGCTTTTTTCATGCTGCAAGAGCTCTGATAGTTTGGGGTACGTCCTCCGGAAATTGTCAGAATTACTGTGTAAGTCTATGGAAGGGGGTGGGAACCATGAGCCTCCTAGGTTTTGTATTGAAGTCAATGTACCCAGAGGAGGACACAAGCTAGCTGTCCTCCGGTTACACCATGGTGCTACCCTACAGAGTGCTGCTGAGGCTACTGTAGACCTTCATTGCAAAACAGTGTGTTTTAATAAATTATTTGGAGACTTGTGAATATATATAAATAGGGTGCCATTTGGGATGCATACTAACTCATTTGCACTCTCAATCACGACAGCAGATCAGTTTTTTAAAATCAAATTTTAATTCAGTTTTATTCAGGTGTTGTATCATCAGCTGTACAAGAGGAAGTTCTACTGTCAAAATAACACAATAGAAGACAATATAGATACTCTGAACAAGCAATATCACTTCCCCATAGTCTGTTATATGTGGTTGTGTATGACTGATTATGAGAGAGAGAGAGAGAGAGAGAGAGAGAGAGAGAGAGAGAGAGAGAGAGAGAGAGAAGAAAAAAACCTGCTACATGCCTACTAGAGCCCTGCACATGTATTAATTTTAAGCCCTACCCATGTCCCGCGACATTCAGGCCCTACTCTACCCAGGCCTGATTGCTCCTGCCAAATTTAAGGCCCTGCCCAAAACCCGAAAACATAAATAACTTCCTCCGTTCGTATATCCATTAGCTGCTCGTCTCTGTCTGTCACTCTCTCTGCATGCACTCTGCTCATGGCGGCTCTGAGTCAGTGTAACAAAATCCTTCCTCGGCAACAGCAAACTACGGAAACAATAAGGACCTCCATACTGCATGTTACGAACCCCGTGGCTTAAACGTCTAGGGAGGATGGAGAAGAGACCCGTAACATAAATCATGCAAATTAGAATCGTGACATGGAACAGGGAGAACAAAAACTACACGACAACCATAAACTACCGTCAAACATAAAATGTTTATTTGTGAACACACGGTAAAGGTTTGGGAAAAAGGGCTGAGCAGGACCCAAGAAATGAAACAATAGTGCAAAACACCCCTAAACTGATCTTGCCTGCCTCAAGAACCGCTAAACTACTGCTAATCATACAAAAATACAGTGGGTGGTCCGCTCAGGTCTAACTAGTGTTTATAGACAGTTTTCTTTCTACGGGTAATGTATGCCCAAGGGCAGCTTGCTTAACTTCCCCTTTTCCCAGAAACACACAAAGTTACCAAACAGAGTAACCAGCAAATAAGTGAGTACACAAAACACAGGACACCACAGTATCCATACTCACATACGGAAAATAGTCTTCTAACAACAAACACAACTGACCGGCTTTTAAACAATGGGATGTGTGATTGAAAAACCAGAAACAGGTGGTGCAATGCAGAGGAATGTTCACTGATTGGTCCACCTTAGCAATCAGCAGACACCCCAACAACCACCAATCAGGAACATACAGGACACCTGTGATTAGGGCAGAAGGAGAGGAAAAACACAAAAAGACACAGGATACCTGTATCCGTAACACTGCACTACAAATATGAGCCCACTTACTGTGTAACTATACCTTTTCTCTCAAGTACTTGAAAACTAAGACCCTTCAAGTTCTCATTTACAGTACGGTTTGCTGAAACAAAAGGTCTTTGGTTTGTTATCTCAAGTTTGATATTAATGAATAAAAACTATAGTTGAAACTATTCTGAAATAATTAGCAGTTGTCAACCTAGCCATTTGGGATTATATGTACAGTTTCTCGGTCTGACAGTCTCTACCACGCGTCACACAAGCCTGCACACTATAAAGCTGAACAATTAAACTAAATAGAAACGAGCAAGGGAAGAAAAACCAAGCAGTAACATTAAAACACACATCCCTTCATGTTGAAGTCTTTCTAGGTGTTTCCTCTCCTAGTTTTTCTGTCAGACAAGAAACAAACACGCTAATGTTCAGGATAGAGATACCTCTCCTCTCCTCTCCTCTCCTCTCCTCTCCTCTCCTCTCCTCTCCTCCTCTCCTCTCCTCTCCTCTCCTCTCCTCTCCTCTCCTCTCCTCTCCTCTCCTCTCCTCTCCTCTCCTCTCCTCTCCTCTCCTCTCCTCTCCTCTCCTCTCCTCTCCTCTGTGTTTTCTTCCCTCCATTCAATCAGGGAGGTGAAGAGGTCTCTCTCAGACGTAGTCCTTCCTGTCGTATCCCGCTGCGCCCCCGCTCACGCTGCGAGGGGCGGAGTAGGCCATGCCGGCAGGCTTGTACCTCTTCTCCTCGCTGGGGGGGCAGGAGCTGCACAGCATGGCCCCTCCGATCAGGAGCAGGGCCGCGGCCCCCCAGCCAATGTAGAGCGAGGCCCCCAGCTCCCTCTTCTGGGCGTTGATCAAATGGGGGTTGTAGAAATCTTGGATGATGGTGCTGGCCGACCAGGAGACAGGGATGAGGACTAGGATCCCGGCCAGGATGAAGAAGATTCCGGAGATGATCATGACTTTAGCTTTGGAGGGTTCATCATCGATGCAGTTGGTGCACTTGGCTCCGACGATGGAGACCATCACCCCTAGAATCCCCAAGATGATGGCGATGATGGTCATGGCTCTGGCGGCCTGCAGGTCCTGGGGCAAGGCCAGGAGGGAGTCGTAGACCTTACACTGCATCTGTCCCGTGCTCTGGATCACACAGTTCATCCACAGGCCCTCCCAGATGGTCTGGGCTGTGATGATGTTGGCTCCGATAAAGGCTGTCACCTTCCACATGGGCAAAGCACAGACCACGATGCCCAGGATGAATCCTATGACTCCCAGGGCGATTCCCACAATTTCCATGCCCATCGACATGCTGGCTCCCTGGGCTGGGTCTCTCCAACACCTGCCCTTCCTGGAGAAAAGAGGATGTGACTTAACTAAGAAGTTCTAGATCCTGCCGAGATTCTCAACTGACAGAATCCAGCACACAGATTCTAGAACTAACAGAGGATTCTGTCACGCTGAGATTCTAATCCAGTTGTAATCAAAGATAGAAGATTCTGTTCCAAATCTGGAGCTCTGTCCTTCCGTATGTTCTTTGTGTTCTTCCTTGCCTGTGTGTATAACCACTTTTTTTCTCTCTCTCTCTCTCTCTGTGTGAGGGTGTGATGTAGCTAAGTGATGCTGCCACGGAAACAGAGATCCTTTATAGCCCAGGGGAGGGAGGTGAGGAGGGAGGGAGGAGTCCCCTGGTGATGATGTCACAGGATGGCAGAACAGGTGTCTGCAGGCTCTTCACAAAAACAACGACCTGCCCATAGAGGCTACTGAGAGAGGGGGATGGAGAGAGGAGGAGGAGTGAGGAGAAGCAAGAGAGATAAGAGGAGAGGAGAGAAGGGAGGGAGGAGGCAGCCAGAGGGGAGGGTTTCACCTGTAATCTGACTCCCTCTTGACTGTTCCTTACAGGAACATAGGGACAGACAGTGCATTGACAATTACCCTGGCCTTGCCTGCTCTCTTTTTTCATGCCTTTATGAAGAATTAATGCCCTCTAAATGTTGGAGGAAAGTATGCTGAATCATGTCCTCTGACTGGATGTACTATGTATATTTGAGGTACAGGCTGGTACAGGTGGGTCGTTCCACGAAATGAGTGCCTTTTGCGTAATGTGTGCCTTATGAATAAAATTATTGTTAAAATGTCCCTCCTTAACCCACTTAACCCCACAATTTATCAAAGTTTTCACCATCATTGTAAAGCTCTAGTTATTTTGTGGCTTTGACAAAGTCATTTTAGCGATTCATTTAAGTCTGTTCCTCATTTTAAGGTCAACCCTGTTATGTGAACTGAACTCTCATTTTAATATGGTGAAATTATTAATTTGTCTTTTTTTTTTTTAAAGAAACATTCAACATCTAAAAGTATAATCATAGTGTAAATGCAGGTGAGCTGTTTATACTCTTGTTGGCCATTTTCTGGTGTTTTGTCGATGAAAACTGAGTGGGTCATGCATAACACATCAAGCCTGTTACCCATAGATAGACAGGCTAGAAATGTTTGAAGAATTTCCTCTTTTTTTTAAAGCTTGCATTCAATTGCCACTCCCTGTTGCACACAAGAAGTTCCATTCTCCCCGTCACAAGGGGATTCATTGCTGATTTAAGATGAAATCATCAACCTTGTCACGGTCAACCCTGTTACTTTATTTGGCACTTAATATAATATAGTAATTTTTATTTTATTTAACCTCTTGAGATCAGAAAACATGTGCTCTTTATGACAGAATGTTAAAATTAGGTGAAATCTTTATGACCTCGCATGGAAACACACACACACACACACACAGACACACACACACACAATCAGGCAGACACACAAATATACAGGCAGGCATATACACTCAGCCACACCCACGCTCACTCAAACAAGCACGCACGCACACACAGAGCAATACGTTTCTATGTCCGTTCCTGTAACAGAGCGATTATGTGTGAAAATATTCCCAGATCCCTGAAAACTTGCAGAACTGTCCTCTGAGTAAATAGAGAGAGAGTGAGAGAGAGAGTGAGAGTGAGAGTGAGAGAGACAGAATAGACACCTTTAGCATACAAACTATTTACTCATCTCAGTATCGGTTAGATACACACTCACGTTACATGGCCAGGCATCCTCCATGTATACCCAGTGCCAGATTAGAAATACCATAAAAAATGTCACCCACACTTTCAATTGTTATCTGTCATAAGTATCAATAATATTCAGTACCCATGCGTCAATCTAAGTAAAAAAAATGTTTTTAATCCCCATCAAAGTCTGTCAATTTAAGCTAGAGATATCTGGTGGCCGAGCGAAAGCAGTGTTTGTCAGACCATGAGACATCCTGAAAATCGGTCTTCTCATGAAAATGTCTGTAGCGTCCGAACGGCTTGTCTGAGGTCGGTACGACTGATGTGCCAACTTCTGTCTGTAGCGTCCGAACCGTTTGGGCTACAAACTAATATGACCACTCTATGGTCACGATGGTGTTCTCCGTTTTTCTCCACAACCCCCACAAGTGTCACGGGACTTGTCTGAAGGTAACCTGGTATCGGTTTAAACAAATTATGGAAGTATGGAGGTAGTTTTGTGTCAACAAAAAAGGGGTTAAATATGTGTCCAAAAAACATACATATATTTCCTGAGCGTTTCTATGGGCTTTAGTAGTAAAGGCCAAAACCAATATTTTATCAAACTTTCTTTTACAGGGGTCCTAATATTCCAAATCAAATAGTTAAATGATCCATGGTATGACCATCTTAAAACAATTCCATTTGTTAGCTTAGTTTTCTGTTTTGTCCTTAGTTGTCCGTGAAGCAGTTGAATGGTGTTGAATTAAAGAGTGTATGTATTTGCATGTGTTAGTGATGGTGATGGAAGGCCTATCACATGCTATTGTTTGCTGTCAACAAGTCTGAACAACTCCACTCACACGCAGACAAACTTGGGGACACACAACAGTTATGCTGTTTGTGGTCCAACAACCCAAGATGGTCACATTTGTCAGTTAGTTGCCTGTGGTTACTGGTATTTGAGGTATATTGCACAGATACAAACAATGATAACAACAGATAGCTACATTTACACATGAAACCTTGAATTGAATGAGTACTCTGCTCTGTATGCATCTGATTCTGGTGTGTTTACAGTTTTCAGTCCATTGATTGTACCACCTGAATAATCAACTCAACAGCAGCAACAACTACATCTACAACAGTGGAATGTTTTTTATTTGACTAAACATACATCCACTGACATTCTCCATAGGTCTGTATTTCCATAGATTATTTTTATTTTATTTTTATTTAACCTTTATTTAACTAGGCAAGTCAGTTAAGAACAAATTCTTATTTACAATGACGTCCCACCAAAAGACAAAAGGCCTCCTGCGGGGACGGGGGCTGGGATTAAAAATAAAAATATAGGACAAAACACACATCATGACAAGAGAGACACCACAACACTACATAAAGAGAGACCTAAGACAACAACATAGCATGGCAGCAACAGATGACATCACAGCATGGTAGCAACACCACATGACAAATAAACTAGGGCGCTGCATTTTACCTGACCATAAGCCTTAGTTGTGCTGTGCCCCTACCTATCCAGGTGAGTTATGGAAAATAACTTATTTTTTACATGACTACCTGATTGGTCAAGTGAAGTCGTTTATTGGGGTTAATATTCACCTGCTGCAGCACCTCTCCAGGCCTCTCCACTAAGCCGTGTGCCTCCACATCTGTCAGGTCAGATAATAAGGAACTACTTAACTATTCAAATAGGGAAGCAGCAGTACTCAGTCAGTCAGTGGGTGTGTATGAGCAGTAAGCCTAACGAAGATGACTGTAGACCAAAGTCAGCGAGTGAAGTCGGGGGAGGTGCATGTTCGACAGCCGAAATTTGGACACTGTAGTTGTTTTCCAACAGCAAGGCTCAGATCAACACGCCAGTGTCAACATAGCTTCTATTGTAGTGGGGTAATATTTTATGTATAAGCATATTATATATACCTCACATGCGACTCAAAATAAGACTATGCAATTAATATGTCAACAAAGTCTATTAAATGAATTATCTGACTCCCTAAAGACTATTTAAAACCATGTGCTAACAAGTATTATGCATTTAGCTGACTAAGATCAAGGAATGGTCATAAGAAGTGAATATCAAAGTAAGGATTATTACTAAGGATTAGTAAGGCCAAGACAAATTCTTTCAGCCTCCTGAGGTTGAAGAGGCGCTGTTGCGCCTTCTTCACCACACTGTCTGTGTGGGTGGACCATTTCAGATTGTCAGTGATGTGTACACCAAAGAACATGAAGCTTTTCACCTTCTCCACTGCGGTCCCATCGATGTGGACAGCGGCATGCTCCCTCTGCTGTCATCCTGAAGTCCATGATCAGCTCCTTCATTTTGTTGACATTGAGGGAGAGGTTGTTTTCCTGGCACCACTCCCTCAGCTCCTCCCTGTAGGCTGTCTCATCATTGTTGGTAATCATGCCTACTATTGTTGTTTTGTCTGCAAACTTGATGATTGAGTTGACGTGTGTGTGGCCACGCAGTCATGGGTGAACAGGGAGTACAGGAGGGGGCTGAGCATGCACCCTTGTGGGGCCCTTGTGTTGAGGATCAGCGTAGTGGAGATGTTGTTTCCTACCTTCACCACCTAGGGGCGGCCCGTCAGGAAGTCCAGGACCCAGTTGCACAGGGCGGGGTTCAGACCCAGGGCCCCGGGATTAATGATGAGCTTGGAGGGTACTATGGTATTGAAGGCTGAGCTATAGCCAATGAACAGCATTCTTACATAGGTATTCCTCTTGTCCAGATGGGATAGGGCAGTGTGCAGTGCGATGGCGATTGCATCGTCTGTGGATCTATTGGGACGGTATGCAAATTAAAGTGGGTCTAGGGTGTCAGGTAAGGTGGAGGTGATATGATCCTTAACCAGCCTCTCAAAGCACTGACAGAAGTGAGTGCTACAGGGCGATAGTCATTTAGTTCAGTTACCTTTGCTTTCTTGAGTACAGGAACAATGGTGGACATCTTGAAGCAAGTGGGGACAGCAGACTGGGATAGGGAGAGATTGAATATGTCCGTAAACACTCCAGACAGCTGGTCTGCGCATGCTCTGAGGACGCGGCTAGGGATGACGTCTGGGACTGCAGCCTTGCGAGGGTTGACACACTTTAATGTCTTACTCACGTCTGCCACGGAGAACGAGAGCCCACAGTCCTTGGGAGCTGGCCGCGTTGTTGGCACTGTGTTATCCTCAAAGCGGAAGAAGAAGGTGTTTAGCTTGTCCGGGAGCAAGACGTCGGTGTCCATGA